CCCCCCCCCCCCGTCCCAGACGCCCCGCGTTCCCGGCGCACCCTGCGGCTGTGGGGTGGGTGTGGGCACGCGCTGCGCCTCCAGCAGCTCGTTGTAGCCGTGGTCTGTCACCTTCAGCACGAAGCGCCCGTCCACCACGCAGTTGCGGGACTTCAGGCGCCCGTGGACGACGTCACGGTGGTGCAGGTAGCGCATGCCCTGCAGGGCGGCAGCGCGGCACCGTCACACACCGCCACCGACGGTGTCACTGCCACCGACTGTCACCCAACGGCGTCACCGTCACACAGCCACGGCACTGCCGCCGACAGCATCACCCAACAGTGTCACTGCCACCAACAGCATCACTGCCACCAACAGCATCACCCAACACTGTCACCCAACAGCATCACCGCCACCAACAGCATCACCCAACAGTGTCACTGCCACGAACAGCGTCACCCAACAGCATCACTGCCACCAACAGCGTCACCCAACAGCATCACTGCCACCAACAGCATCACCCAACAGTGTCACCGTCACACAGCCATGGCATTGCCACCAACAGCATCACTGCCACCGACAGCAACAGCCAACGGTGTCACCGTCACACAGCCACGGCACTGCCACCAACAGCGTCACCCAACCCTGTCACCCAACAGCATCACACAACAGCATCACTGCCACCAACAGCACTGCCACCGACAGCGTCACCCAACAGCATCACTGCCACCAACAGCATGACCCAACACTGTCACCCAACAGCATCACTGCCACCAACAGCATCACCCAACAGTGTCACTGCCACCGACAGTGTCACCCAACAGCATCACTGCCACCAACAGTATCACCCAACAGCGTCACCATCACACAGCCGCAGCACTGCCACCAACAGCGTCACCCAACAGTGTCACTGCCACCAACAGCATCACTGCCACCGACAGCGTCACCCAACAGTGTCACCCAACAGTGTCACCGTCACACAGCCACGGCACTGCCACCAACAGCGTCACCCAACAGCATCACTGCCACCAACAGCACTGCCACCAACAGCATCACCCAACGGTGTCACCATCACACAGCCACGGCACTGCCACCAACAGCGTCACCCAACCCCGTCACCCAACACTGTCACTGCCACCAACAGCATCACCCAACACTGTCACCCAACAGCATCACTGCCACCAACAGCACTGCCACCGACAGCATCACCCAACGGTGTCACCCAACAGTGTCACCATCACACAGCCACGGCACTGCCACCAACAGCGTCACCCAACAGTGTCACTGCCACCAACAGCATCACTGCCACCGACAGCGTCACCCAACGGCGTCACCGTCACACAGCCGCAGCACCACCACCGACAGTGTCACCCAACAGCATCACTGCCACCGACAGCGTCACCCAACAGTGTCACCCAACAGCGTCACCGTCACACAGCCACTGCACTGCCACCAACAGCATCACCCAACAGCATCACCCAACAGCATCACTGCCACCCAACAGCATCACTGCCACCAACACCATCACCCAACAGTGTCACCGTCACACAGCCATGGCACTGCCACCAACAGCGTCACCCAACAGCGTCACTGCCACCAATAGCATCACTGCCAGCCAACAGCGTCACTGCCACCAACAGCATCGCTGCCACCAACAGCATCACCCAACAGCATCACGGCCACCAACAGCATCACCCAACAACATCACTGCCACCAACAGCGTCACCCAACAGCATCACAGCCACCCAACAGCATTGCTGCCACTTGACAGCATCACCCAACAGCATCACCCAACAGCATCACCGCCACCCAACAGCATCACTGACACCCAACAGCATCACTGACACCCGACAGCATCACTGCCACCGCAGCATCACCCAACGGTGTCATTGTCACACAGCCACAGCACTGCCACCAACAGCATCACCCAACAGCATCATTGACACCCAACAGCATCATTGACACCCAACAGCATCACCCAACAGCATCACCCAAACAGCATCACCCAAACAGCATCACTGCCACCAACAGCATCACTGCCACCCAACAGCATCACCCAACAGCATCACCCAACAGCATCGCTGCCACCTGACAGCATCACCCAACACCGTCATTGCCTACAGCGTCACCCAACAGCATCACTACCACCACAGCATCACCCAACAGCGTCACCATCACCTGACAGCATCACCCAACGGCATCACCATCACACGACAGCATCACCATCTCCCAGCAGCGTCACCCAACAGCACAACCGTCACCCAACAGCATCGCTGCCACCCAACAGCATCACCCAACAGCACAACCGTCACCCAACAGCACAACCGTCACCCAACAGCATCCCTACCACCCAAAAGCATCACCCAGCAGCATCATTGTCACCCAACAGCATCACCCAACCGTGTCACCATCAGTTCATGGTGGAACTCAGCATCATCACCCAACGGCATCGCCGTCACCCAGTAACAGCACCCAACCAACAACACCCAACAGCATCACCCAGCAGCAGCACTGTCACCCAACAGCAGCACTGTCACCCAGCAGCAGCACTGTCACCCAACAGCAGCACTGTCACCCAGCAGCATTGCCCGACAGCGTCACTGTCCCCACGCTGCGGCCTGCAGTCGTCACCATGACACCCACCAGCACAACAGTCGCCGCTGTGGTCACGGTTGTGACAACGTCGTGGCACCACCATCACAACCACAACCAACACAACCACCAACACAACCAACACGTCCACAACCACCACTACCACCACAGCCACAACCACTACAACCAACACAACCACCACATTTGCAACCACCACAAAAACAATCGTCACAACTACCACAACCACCACCACCACAACCACCGTAACTGCAACCACAACCACCACAACCACAACCAACACAATCACCAACACAACCAATATATTCACAACCACCACAACTACCACAACCACCACAACCAACACAACCACCACCAACACAACCACCACAACTACCACAACCACCACAACCCTAACCAACATAACCACCTAACACCTAACCCTCACAACCACCACAGCCAACACAACCACCACCAACATAATCACAACCACAGCCACCACAACCACAACTACCACAACCAACACAACCAACACAACCACCACAGCCACCACAACCACAACCACCACACCCACCACAACCACCACAACTACCAAACCACCACAACCACCACAACCAACACAACCAACACAATCACCAACACAACCAACACATTCACAACCACCACAACCACAGCCATCACAACCACCACAACCAACACAACCACCACAACCACCACAACCACAATCAACACAACCAACACAACCAACACAACCAACACAACCAACACAACCACCACCACCACCACAACCACTACAACCACCACAACCAATGCAACTACCACAACCACCACAACCACAACCCCACAACCACCACAACCACAGCCACCACAACCAACACACCACCACAACCAACACAACCACCACAATCACCACAACCACCAGAACCACCACAACCACCACCACCACAACCAACACAACCACAACCACCACAACCAACACACCACCACAACCACCACAACCACCACAACCAATACAACCACCACAACCACCACAACCACCGCAACTACCACAACCAACGCAACCAACACAACCACCACAACCACAACCAACACAACCACCACAACCAACGCAACCACCACCAACCACCACAACCACAACCACCACAACCACCACCACCACAACCACCACAACCACCACCACCACAACCACCACAACCACCACAACCACAACCACCACAACCAACACAACCACCACCACAACCACCACAACCACCAGAACCACCACAACCAACACAACCAATGCAACTGCCACAACCACCACAACCAAAACAACCACCACCACAACCACCACCACCACAACCACCACCACAACCACCACCACCACAACCACCACCACAACCGCCACAACCACCACAACCACCACCACCACAACCACCACAACCACCACAACCACCACCACCACAACCACCACAACCACCACAACCACAACCAACACAACCACAACCAACACAACCAACACAACCACAACCACCACCACAACCACCAACACAAGCAACACATTCACAACCACCACAACCACAACCACCACAACCACAACCACCACAACCACCACAACCACCACAACCACCACAACCACCACCACCACCACCACCACAACCACCACAACCACCACCACCACCACAACCCCACAACCACCACCACAAC